CTTTCCTCAGCATCAGAGAGATTCTCACTTTCCTACAGATAAAAACCAATGTATGTTTTTGATGAGAATTTAATGTATATGTATACAGTATTATTTAATGGTATGGTTTGAGAATGCGTAAGAGAAATAGACCTTATTGTTTAATGTTGCATCCATTTCTGACATATAATGTTTCATTGATTATAAGCTGTCTAAAAGAATACATACAGAAGCCACTTGAAGTTGCAGGTCATTCTTCTCCTGCAGCAGGGACACCATCTTCTCCTCCAGTTCCTTCTTCTTGGCCAGGGCAGTAGTCAGGTCTGTCTGCATCTTACCATAATTCTCCTTCATTTGAGCCAACTCCTTCTCAGTTTCTGCACTCTTCAGAAGAGGCTTGATCTTGAAGTACAAGTGCATCCATGGCCAGTTTTTGACATTCATGAATGAACGGACGTTGTACTGGATGGTGTAGATTGCATCTCTATCAAAAAGATGTAGTTCCATCATAAGCTTGACTTTGGTAAACATCAATTTGCAATTTCATTTAAGAGCAGTGTACCTCCTCTCCATCATCTTAACAAACTCCTTCCTCATTAAGTGGCCTCTGGAGAGGGCCTGAGTCATGGTCACCAGCTCAGCCAGTTTCTCATCTCTCATCTCCTCCAGGGTACCCAGCAGACCAGCTTTGAAGAACACCTGTGTTGTCAGTCAATTACAATCATATTTTATTATATATGTGTATGCATAGTACATATATACATATAGTAAGAGAGAGTAGCTTTTGTTTTTTATCCACCAGACTTGTACCTTTGTGTGACCAAACTTGTACTGAGTGTGATCCACATCAATGGAGCCAAGCAGCTTCTCTGCAGCTTTCTTGTTGTCAATAAACTGTCCCTCTGGGATGACACTGGCATTCAGTACTTTGTATCTATAACAGAAAATTGTGTTATTTATCTTACTCTACTTTGACTACTAATACTTCACCCTTATAACACTTTTACTGTAACCAAATTGCCTATGAATAAGGAAACTGCCTGCACCTCTGCTTGAAGTCACCGTAGAGGATTCTGCTGGGGAAGCCCTTTCTGCAGATTCTGATACCTTCCAGCACACCGTTACACCTCAGCTGGTGGATGACCAGGAAGTTCTCCATAAGACCTGAGAATGCATAGTCATATAATTTTAGTATTGGTGTACCAACCCGTGTATGTAACCAGTAACATGTAACGAGTAAACTGGTGGGTAGGCTATTCTTACCTGGGGTCTTTGTTTCATTGGGAATCAGGCAACGTACAAAGTGAGGGTGAGTGCTCCTCAAGTTGGTCATCAGTTTGCCCAAGTTTTCCTGAGCGATAAAACTTTGTTTATTTTTTCTGCAAAAAAGTTGATCAATCTCATTAAACTTAGCCTTGGTGTCTTGAGATTTTTAAACATACCCTGAAAAGAGCAGACACAGTCTGGAAGGATGCACCCTTCTTCTTTCCACCTCCCTTCTTGCCACCACCAGAAGAATCTGTTTATTTAATTATTAAGCAATCAAAGTTAGACTTTCTGAATTTTTAACCAAGCAAAACTGATTTTGAAGAATTAAATGATCATTTTCAATAATTTTAGTAAATTGTTTCCTATTTACCATCAGATGAAGAATGGGATGCATACAAGTACGCCAGCAGTTTGTTTGCAGACTTCTGGTAGAGCTGAACAACTGAATCGTTCAGTGGGTCCTTGTTCTTGTCCAGCCAGCCAGTGATGTTGTAGTCCACTGTACCAGCATAGTGAACCAGGGCAAAGTGAGCCTCAGACTTGCCCTTGCCAGGCTTTGGCTTCTCAAAGGCTTTGCTCTTGCCAAGATGCTGATCATACAGCTTGTTCTTAAAAGAAGTATCTGTTGCCTTGGGGAACATGCACTCCTCTTCGAGAATGGAGAAGATGCCCATTGGCTGAAAGATTAAAAGATCAAGTTTTACTTACAATAGTCCACCATTTTCACATCAAACAAATGGCATCAATGATCCTAATGTCACTGTACCTTCTCAATCAGCTCAATGCAAGCAGCCAAGTCCATACCAAAGTCAATGAACTCCCACTCAATGCCTTCTTTCTTGTACTCCTCTTGCTCCAGGACAAACATGTGATGGTTGAAAAACTGTTGCAGTTTCTCGTTGGTGAAGTTGATGCAGAGCTGCTCCAAGCTGTTGTACTGTCAAGATTAAGGAGTGTTGAGTTTGACAGCAGAACTCCATGGGAACTGTTGAACTACTTGTACTTTGTTCTACTACTCACATCAAAGATCTCAAATCCAGCGATATCCAGCACACCAATGAAATAAGACCTGGCCTGTTTTGTGTCCAGCATCTCATTGATACGGATGACCATCCACAAGAACATTTTCTCATAGACTGACTTGCACAGAGCCATGGTTGAATTGTTCACCTAAAAATTGGCATGCAGCACTTACAGTTCATAGGAAGTACACAAATCGTATATTTTTATATCATTATTTTACGTGTGTTCTGCCTTTGTACCTGTGGGACAGTCTGACCTTTGGTTACAAACTCATTCCCAACCTTGACTCTTGGGTAACACAGAGCTTTCAGCATATCAGCTGAGTTCAGACCCATGAGGTAGGCAATTTTATCAGCAACTGGTTGATAGAAAAGAATATTCGTCACTAGTGGCAAATCCACAGATGTGATTTCATATGGAACCATGCTTTTTATGTTTTTTGAGGTTATTTGTAATTGGTCCTATTTTGACTTGCTTCCACATGCTACTACAATTTAAATGAAATGCAATGCAAATTATTTGAAAGTGACGGCACTAATTAAAATTTGTTATGCATTAGTTTACTGTATGAGAGTTATATCACAAGAAATAGCTCATTTTATTATACTGAAATATGGTTTTAATCCACCATGTAATGTAGTTTGATCAAATATCACACTATTGATGCACTTACCCTCAGTGCCATCAGGTTCAGCCTGCTCCTCACGCTGCTTCTGCTTGAATTTCATGTTGCCATGGTGCATCACAGCTCCAGTCAGCTTGTACATGCCAACCTTTTCATCACTAGTGAATCCCAAGATGTCAATGGCCAGCTAAAATTCATGCAAACCGAATATTTTAGTGATAACAGTAACACAATACATATCTAAAGTTTTCATACTGAATAATTTTAACTGACATCTGTTGCAATGAACTCCTCCACATCATTGATGCTCTTGACAGTGATTTCACCCTGGCTGATCATTGGATAGTCATAGGGGTTGGTGGTGATCAGAAGAGCCTCTGAGAAAGAAAATGTAGATCAGATAAATAAGACTACCTAATTTGCTTTTAAATATTTAATTAGCTGCACTGAAACAGACCTAGGAGTTCAGGCTTGTGGCCAGTTGCAAGCTGGTAGAAGATATGGTAGCTCCTCTCAGCGGACAACTGGAAGGTGACACGAGACTTCTCCAGCAGATCTGTTGTTAGAGAAATTATAATTACATTATCACATATTTTGCCATTGACAGACAAACCTCACAGTGACATCCACAACCATAATCACAACTCACATGTTTCAATATCTGCAGAGGATAGCTTGCCAGTAGACCCAAAGTGAATTCTGATGAATTTACCCTACACACAGGTTGTCAGTTAGTTTTATGAAAAGTATGAGAAAATGGATCTTTACATAGTTCCATGAAAAAATACTTACAAAACGAGAGGAATTGTCATTCCTCACAGTCTTGGCATTACCATAGGCCTCCAGCAGAGGGTTAGCTGCAATAATTTGATCTTCCAGTGAACCCTACATAAAATCATGATGAGTTTTAATGGAATAAAACCAGGAATATATAGCAAGGCTTTGAGTGGATTCCCAGACTTACCTGCATTTTGCTAGTCTCTTTTTTGGATCCGGTCACTGCAATTGTTGCAAAGTACTGAATGACACGCTTGGTGTTAACAGTCTTCCCTGCACCGGATTCTCCACTAAGGAATACAATGATTGTTTTCAAGTAAGCAACATAGTCAGGTATTTTAAGTATTAGGTAGGTTATGTTTTACTCACGTGATAAGGATAGACTGGTTTTCACGATCTAGAACCAAAATACACAAAGTGATGTTTCTTTTCTGATCTGTCTAGTATATCTAAAAGCTATAAAATCACGTACCTGTGAGCATGAACTGATAGGCATTGTCAGAGATGGAGAAGATGTGGGGTGGTGCCTCAATCCTCTTCTTACCCCTGTATGCTCCAACAACTTGTGCATCATACACTGGCAGCCATTTGTAGGGATTTACGACCACACAGAACAGGCCAGAGTAGGTCTGTTGTATAAACAAATAAGGACTGTTGCATTTTGTGCACAGGCTTTACACATACAACACACAATATTATGGGATTGAACCTTACGTAAATCATCCATGATGCAAAACGCTCTTTGAGGTTATACAGCACAGCGGGCTCATTGAGGTGGGTCATCATGGCCATGTCCTCAATTTTGTCATATTTTGGAGGGTTCATGGGAAAGATGTCGTCCTCTTTCACAGTCACTGTCTGAATGGAAAATACAGCAAAAAAAAAAAAAAAGGTATTAATACTAATTTGTATGTTTTCTATGTGGCTGCCATGTCTATATTTAGGTACTTACCTTTCCAGCAAATGTATCAACTGTGGCTTTGCCACCCTCTCGTTTGGTGAGTTTGCCTTTGACATACATATCTACAGCATCAGTCACAAAATAGGCTGTTTTGGCATCAAATATTGTGTTTTGTGCTTCAAGTCTTTCCTTCTCTGGCTTCCGTAAGAATATGGATGCAGGCCCATAGGCCTCCATCTCTGCGTCTGAACTCATTCTGGCCCCTTCTGAGGAAACAAGTCAAACTTGTATCAAATATGTCTCTGTCTAAGTCGGATTGACTTCTGTGCTTTGTATTTGTAAAGTTGCAACTATATTGTACCTCTTTTAGTCCCCACAGAAGATAGAACACAGGTCTGTTGTTACTGACCCTATTGAAAATGAGCATTTGTTAAAAGATAAATAACATATTTAAATATTAAAGACATAGAAGGTTGCTGTTGTTGATAAATGTTCCACGTTGAACTACATGTTTTTATGCATGCATAAGGATAAGCATAATTACATTAAATAATACATGTAACAAATTGGTATTTTCCTGTACTCACCTAGGTTGGATGCCTGCCAGTTATTGTCAGAGTCCCAAGGGGCATCTTTTATAGAGGGAGGCCTGTCTTCTCAGTAGGTGTGACTTTCTCAATTTGGTCATGTATTCTTGTCATGGTGTCGCTAATCTTGTGACAGTGACATTTACAGTGATTGTCTTGCCTTGTGTGTTCACTGGTGGAATGTATGTCTGCCAAGTGCCTAAAACGAGAAGTCATAGGGCATAAAGGTTAAATAAATAGAGTCAGTGTTTTATTCAAATAACAAGTCCTCCTAATATTAGGTTTGTATTTGGTAAATGTTTGAATTTAGCTTTTTCATTTGTTTAAATTATTTTTGAATCAACTGTTCATAACATAATACTTTTTCTTGTTACAGAAAGGTCACCTTTTTATTTTTATCATGGAACCAAATTCTGTTTGTGCTTTTTAATCACAAGTTACAATGATCTTGAATGCGGAGCCCAGATAAAAGTCTGTAAATATTAAGAAACTGAACCGCAGCATATTTTAGATGTTTGCAATCAAATTGATCCATGAGTGTCAATCCATTAAAAGGAAGGATGGAACGCTGTCTTGGAATGTGATGGACTAAGAGCTGCCATCCAAGCTAGGATAAGACTCAAAATAAGTCTTTAGCCACTACCACCATGTTAGAGATTCCAGTGTAATAGTACCATGATAAAGGGCCCTTCCACCCTTCGACCATTTTTAATTTATAAAAATAATAAATAATAATAACATGTCAATTGTTTTAAATAACTTATATTATTAAATTTAGATTGTAGAGCAAAAGTGTTCGTATTGTTTCATTTATATTTAAGCCTCTGTTTTAAAAGGGACGACCTTGAGAAATGGCAGCCATGTGGTCTCCGTAGGTAGGTGGGCCATTGTGTCAACATGTGCTGCACAGTTGCCTTTTAAGTGGGGTCAAAGGTTTTCAACCGACCTAAATAACATTTGTCAGATGTGCTATTCAAGTTAGGTCAAAGGTCACAGTAGTTTTTTTAAGTCAACTTGTTTTAGAAATGCCTTGCTGTGCTTAGATGTCACTCAGGTTTTTAAACAGTATAGTGGTAATATATATAATTTAAGATTCATACATTTGGGTTAGATTTACTCATTAAAATAAAAAGATGGAAAATATTGAAGGATGCGTACACGTTCTTGTGAATGAATGTCTGTTTTTACTTTCTTCAATAACGAGTTAAATACAAAATTAAAAAATAAGGAATAAAAAAGTAAGAGATTAAAGTGGACATTTAATCCCTTTTATATTTATTATTCCTTATTTTTTATTTTTGTATTTAACTCTTTATTGAAGAGAGTAAAAATAGACTCTTCTGACTAACAGTTTTTTGGTGTCACCTTTAAACGTCATCTGTGCTACAACCCATAAGCAAAAATAAAGTTTACCATTTTGTCCCTGGAGGAGGAGTCTGGAAGTGTTTAAAATGTCAGTGACATATAAGGTCCACAGAAATGTACCAAAGACAGCGTTGCTTAAGCTTTTTATGTTTGATATCACTTTCTTACAGTTTAGAGTTCAGAGCAAAGAATATATCAATACGTATGAAAGGTTGATGTGTATTTAGTTATGTTTTATGGATTATAATTGCAGTAATATGGATTTTTTTTGTCAAAAACTGTTAAAAGCAATTAGACAAAATTAAACATTAATGAGCTCTAAATTATAATCCATTAAAGTAAATTTGAAGAAGCATTATAATGTCACTAGGATATAATTACAGGATACACATCTTTCAGATATTTAAAATAAGATTTGACTGCTGGTCTGCTGGTCAGCATTAGACTCTTAATGCTGTTCAAGTGTTTGGATCCTTTTGGAAGGAGGTTTTTAAATGACTGCCCACTCAGATGAAATAATACCAGGAATATGTAGTCATGAATACTGTTAATGCTTTACTAAGAGGATTGGAAGAGAGTCAGGGTGGAAAAGAAGGGCCGATGACTGATTCAGTGACTGACAAATTATTTAATGAGGGGTATTTCTCAGGTCATGTCCAGGATCAACTTTCATTTCCATCTTTCGCGTAAGCTTGTCCTATTTCCTACTTTATCAGCAGATCACACGATATTGCCTTGGTCAAAAATAAATCTAAGCTAGCTAAGGGGAGGGGGTATCAGTGATTTGGATTTGGCCTAGAAGGAAAGATATATTTAAAGACTGTACAAAAATATTTGAAAAGAAAAAGAGGTCTTTCTTTAAATTGGTTATAACCTAAAATGTATCATCCTTCTTCTTAGGAAGATTATTCTTCATTTAACATAGATTGTTCTTGCATTGTCCTTATTTCAATGTCTTTCTCCACTCTGGCTAGTGATTGGAACCAGGAGCACACTTGTTCAGCTCCAGGGGCTGGACATCTTAGACTAGTGGCCATAAAGAATCTCATTCAAAAATACATCAACAGGTGGTCTAATGGAACCAGGGATTCTATCTGTGGCCTTTTACTAAGGATAAGTAATTTTTTGTAATAATTACCATTATCTATCACCATTATTAATTTTGATATTGATATGAGAAACACTTTTTTTCACAGAAAATGTGTATTATACCGACCCTCAAACCCAGACCTGAGGGTCCTTCATACTACTGTGGTGCATAACGTTTTCAAATGTCACTCAAACACTTGACTTAGTGCTGTTGAATGAAGTTTATGTATGACATTATGTATGACATTTATTGTGAGCCCCGATTCGGTTTGGTTAAGCCTTCAGACATTGTGTTTATGAATAAGCTGTGTTGGGCATCAGTACTGATCGTAAAATCAGTGACTGTTTTGAATTGCTACTAAGTTTTACCTGTCATCCGTTCAAACACCAAGAGGACAGGCTACAGAGTAGCTAGTATGTAGCGGCAGTGGTGTGGTTGCATTCTTCCGAACCTTTAGCGCAGGAGTCTCCAACGCATCACTTGCAAGCTACCAGTAGCTGGTCGCCCATTTCAAGCACCTCGCCAAAGAGCTATTGAATTAAGTAAATGTCTCCAAACCCGTCTGCTTGTGTTTCCTGTTGTCTTTCCTTGCTGTCTGAAAAGAGCGATTGGACTCAAGTTCTCGCCAAAAAGTTTATGGATTTGCTCTCTTTTGTCGGCAGAGGTAGCAGACAAAGCACACAAACCTTTGGTCAGAACTTTTTGTTGGGAGCTGTAACCAAACAACCAACCGCATTTCTTAGTAAAATCGCATCATAAAATGTGTCACTCTGCTACCCTACCCTTGTGGAGCATATACAAAATAGATAACTTTAAATAGTAGAAAACCGAGCTTATCCTAAGTCGTTTGTGTGAGCCTATCTGACATAGAATGACAATGAGTACTGTACTGTATCAATGACTAACTGTAAAGTCCCAAAATATCCCTGTCAGCATTGTGTCAGTTGTTTCCGTTTTACATTCTTACGTATCATATATACATTCTCTGCCCAGGCTTCAAAGTCTAAGATTTTAACTACTGTATAATGAGTTTAACTATAATTATTTGATGTAAATATTTTCTTCAAAAATAGTTACTAATGGGCTTGCAATTGGTGTCACATATAAAGGTAATTAATTTGTAGCCAATTATATATTAATTGAAATGTTCCAATAAACATACAGGCTTATGCGATGATTGTAAAAATTGATGGGCCTTTTGATTGGCAACCATGTCTGATTCATTTTGAGACCACAGCACGCACTGGGCTTTACAGTTGGAGGAGATTCAGAATGTGACTGGTTTATTTTTGCAGCTTCCACATGTCTCAGATATCTGATACAGATTTCAACTGCATGTTGCCAAGCAGCTGTAATCCTCTGGGAAATCTAATATAAGGAGAGAGAGAACATAAAGTTGTGTGGTTAAAGTAAAGTATTTTTCTAAAAGGAAGGAAACAAAAAGCATTAAAAATAGAATGTTTTACTTTGCATACTTTAGAACAGTGCATTAGAGCAAATATTCAGGCAAACTTCAGGATCACCAACAGAGAAGAATGAGCTTGTTTTCAGATACAGATATGTTTTTAAAAATTACCTTTCCAACATCACGGCTCTTGGCTCTCAGCTTGTTGACCTGGGACTCAGCAATGTCAGCACGCTCCTGAGCCTCTTCCAGCTCATGCTGGACCTTCCTCAGTCTGGAGAGGTGGGTGTTGGCCTGTTCCTCCTGTAAAATTACTTTGATTGTACTGACTTACTTATGATCAAATTAGAGGTGTGCATTTAAATGTGGCAAATGATTTAGGACTTACGGCCTCCTCAGACTGCCTCTTGTAAGCCTTGACTTTGAGCTGCAGCTTGTCAACAAGATCCTGAAGTCTGTTGACATTCTTCAGTCTGTGCAGAAATTTGTTTTAGAGCAAGCGTTGACAGATGATAAAAGAAATTTTTGTGATTTCTGGTAACACTTACCTGGTAGGTCAGCTCCTTCACTCTCCTCTCATACTTGCGGACTCCCTTAACAGCATCAGCGCCACGTCTCTGCTCAGCCTCGACTTCAGACTCCAGCTCACGCACCTGTGATGTGTTATGCACAAAGAAGTACAACCCATTTCTCACAGCAAAACTTCAATACACCTCAAAAATGATTTTGATAAGACTTTATACAGTTCATACCCTGGACTCCAGTTTCTGGAGCTGCTTCTTGCCACCCTTCATGGCGAGGTTCTCAGCCTCATCCAGACGGTGCTGCAGGTCCTTCACTGTGACCTCCAGGTTCTTCTTCATCCTCTCCAAGTGAGCACTGGTGTCCTGCTCTTTCTTCAGCTCCTCAGCCATCATGGCAGCCTAATATTTGATATGATTTTTTTTTGTTTGATCCATTTTCGTCTTTACAATGAAATTAAGACATAAAATGCAGCATTCTTTAAAAAACTCACATCAGTGATAGCCTTCTTGGCCTTCTCCTCAGCATTTCTTGCTTCCTGAACAGCATCATCCACTTCACCCTGGACTTGGACCAGATCAGACTCCAGCTTCTTCTTTGTGTTCAGGAGACTGGTGTTCTAGATGTTTGAAGAAAATAACAAAATGTAATATACAGTAGAAATAATTATATTTATTCCTGCTCCTGACCTCAGCATCAAGAGTAGTCTGCATGGAGTCAATCACTCTCTGGCTGTTCCTCTTGATCTGCTCCATTTCCTCATCCTTCTCTGCCAGCTTCCTGTCAACTTCTCCTTTGACCTGGTTGAGCTCAAGCTGAACACGGAGGATCTTGGCCTCCTCATGCTCCAGTGTGCCCTGTAATTTGTTTAGAAAAAATGAAATCATGTGTGTTTATGCTGGATTACTTCTGGTTGATTTATTAAAATCATAGAAAATAAAACATATTTTAGTAGTGCCATTATTGATGTCATACCTCAGCCTCCTCCAGGGCTGACTGAATTTCGGACTTTTCAGTCTCCACAGTCTTCTTGGCTTTCTCCAGTTCATGGATGCTCTTTCCAGTCTCAGCAATCTGTTCAGTCAGGTCAGAGATCTCCTCTGTAAAGTGCAAAAATAAAAAAGGTCAGAGAACTTCAACTTAATTGTATCTACATGTGTTATATCTAATAACAATATTGATTAACATACGCTGAAGGTTCTTGTTCTCCCTCTTCATGGTCTCCAGATGATCCAGAGCTTCCTCATAGGAGTTCTTCATCTTGAACAGCTCAGTGCTCAGAGAGCGGGCCTCCTTCTGGGCTCCTTCCAGCTCTGACTGTCCCTCCTCATACTTCTGTTTCCACTCTGCAAGGACCTACAGTGATCAAGATCATTTAGAATAAGATCTTAACTTCAAAACAAAATAAAGAGAATGACTGTGCTGGGTTAGGGATCGATTATTACCTTGTCGAAGTTCCTCTGTTTCTTGTCAAGGTTAGCAGCCAGAGCATTAGCTCTCTCCACATCAATCATGAGGTCCTCAACCTCACCCTGCAGCCTCTGCTTGGTCTTCTCCAGAGAGGCACACTTGGAGTTAACAGCCTCAACAGCCTCCTCAGCCTCCTGGAGACGCTGGGCAAGCTTCTTCCTGTTTTTCAATTATTTGTTAATTGAAAGAAAATAACAGCTAATGCAGTCGAATAATAAAAAAAAAGACTTGCTTTGCATCCTCCAGCTCCTCAGTGCGCTGGATGGCATCAGTCTCATATTTGCTTCTCCACTGAGCCACCTCGCTGTTGGCCTTGGACATTCCTCTTTGAAGCTCAGCCTTGGCCTCCTGCTCCTCCTCAAACTGCTCTCTGAGCAGATCACAGTCATGGCGGGAAGACTGAACTGCATGGGCCAGGGCATTCTTGGCCTATTTAACAAAATCTCAATGTCATATTGAACATATCTTTTAAAAAGTATCTTGGGTTTTTTAAACAATGTTTACCAGTGTTATACTTAGATACTGCTTGAAATTCAACAAATTATAAATAAATACAAACATCCCATACCTTGACTTCCTCTTCATTGAGTCTCTTCAGCTCCTCAATCTGCTGAGTAAAGGCCTGTTTGCCTCTGGTCAGCTGGGAAACAAGAGCCTCCTTCTCCTCAAGCTGACGTGAGAACTCACCTATGGAATCATTTTAGTGATTGTGAAATTTCATTCATAATAAAAGGCACTAATGTTTTATTTCTTAATTTAAAAGTGGCTTACCATTCTCTGTCTGCAGTCTGGCCTTATGTGCACTAATGTTCAGCTGGGAAACAAGAGCCTCCTTTTCCTCAAGCTGACGTGAGAACTCACCTGAATAACAAAGTGATCATGTGTGTTAAGGAAGACATTTTCTAGTTATTTTTTTATATTGGTGTTTTTTCTTCAAATAAACCATATTACATGTTGTAATACTCTTTCAGGGTGACTGACCGTTCTCTGTCTGCAATCTTGCTTTCTGAGCATTAGTGTCATTCAGCTGGCGGACATTCTCATCATTTTTAGCTTTAAGCTCACTGTACTGGTCCTCAAGAGTTCTGCACATTTTCTCCAGGTTGCCCTGAGGAAAACACACAATATGTCTTATGATTTGCTTTGTTTTTGATAGAAGGTCCTAGCTTGGTCGACTGACTTAATTAGAACTCTTGTTTTTTTATTTATTAATTTTGAAAAATAATGTTTTGAAATTAAGAGCAATATCTGCCTTTGATTCAGCTGGCGGACATTCTCATCATTTTTGGATTTGAGCTCACTAAGCTGGTCTTCAAGAGTTCTGCACATTTTCTCCAAGTTGCCCTGATACCAAAAGAAGAGTATTCAATTGCATCTAGAGACTGATAATAATAATATTATTATTGGCCCCTTAAAAAACACTTACCTTAGCCTTGGCCACAGACTCCATGTTGCTGCTGAGGTCATCGATTTCCATCTTGTACTCGCTCTTCTCCTTCTCTAACTTCTGCTTGACACCTTGGGGGTTGAAAGTGATATGTTCAGTGCATATGCATATATTATTCAGTTTTCAATTTAATTTACAATTTAAAGTAAAATATTAGATACAATTCAAGGGCCACATATTGATGAAAAACATACCTTACAGTACAGAATGACATCATCTTAACTTATCTTGATCTTAATTAAATACCTCTAAAATTACCTTTACCTTTATCTTTTACTGCAGCAAACCATCTTTGTAAAATATGCTATCTTTCATATTTGTTCTTTAGGTTGTGTCCAAAAAAGTGAAAGATATTTTTAAATGTCTTCTAAAGAAATATTGTAGTTTTGTAAAAGTTTGAAAAATCCATATCCTTTAAATGTCTTCTAAAGAAATATTGTGTCTATTTTTATGTTATTAACTTGGATTTATTAATTAGTTAAGTCCACAAAAAATTGAATGGCAAAATTGCAGAACTAAACCATCAAACATCATTTATTCATTCTAATAAATCATGTTACACCATGATAAATGATTTTAAGTTGTCACAGTCCATGGCACACATCCCTGTCCTGGTATTTTTTATATGGCACCCAGCGATGGGATTTAAATTTGGAGAAGCATTAAAATGTCACTGGTGTATAGTTACAGGACATAAGTGTCTGTAATACTTTGAATTAAAATCAAGCAGATGGTGTTGTGTGACTACTGGAAGCAAATTTAAAAAGACTGCCAACTCAGTTAAATGAACACCAGAAATGCTTTGCTCTTAAATAACATTAAGGTTTTATTTGGAAATTAAAACAGGCATCCTTTAATTTGAAGAGATTGATGCGACTGACTGAAGGGAAAATCTAGCATCACTTCCAAGATCAATTTCAATACCAAACTCTGCACAGACTTGGAATCAATGGGTCAAACCCACCCATTGATTCTCGAATGGAAATATTCAGCCTGTGAATTGTATTAAATACATTACTAAACATGCTTTCCAAAGTTTTCCAAATGGTTTGTTTTTGTTTTTTTCATTCCAAATTCTCCCCAACCAAACAAAAAGATGTATACGATGGGTGAAAGTCATGGGTCATAGTTCACATGGTAACTAAGGATTAGTTATGTACAGTATTACACCATACATAGTCATGTAAAATGAAAATCTGAGGGTAGTGATGGAGTTAGGAAACCTCAGCGCTAAAATATGATTCATTGTAAATATTTAGAATGTTGAAGGTCATACCAACCCAAAATAACAAAAGCAACTCTTATATGTCATTGAAAGTCTATGGATTCAAATGTAGTGAGTTAAATATATTTTTATGTCAAACAATTCTTTTTCTACACATGTCAAAGTGCACCAGTGTGTCTGTGTCTTATACGTGGGTTTCAGATGTAACATGTAGCATGTAGAGTGTGAACTATCAGTTCTGAAAATAAGAATTGAATCTCAATTGAGTAATGTTCTTGGTAGACAAATACTGCTTTGAAATTAGTTTGGTAGCTTCAGTTAAAATGCATGATGGTGCAATAGTTGGTCATCATTCATTGTACATCTGTTCAGAACCTTTCAAATGAACTAAAAATTACAAATGTGCAAAGATGACGCTGATCAAATTTTTGTGATTGTTTGTTTTTTATTCTTTTATTGTCCCCCAAAGAGCCACAGAACACAAAGTACAACTGTTGTGTTCATTTTGACAGATGCTCCCACAGTTTTATTTAGGGTTTTCTGCATCGTATGAAATAAATTGAAAACCAGATTTTCCATGTTTCCATTTGAACACATCCCTCATCCTAATGTAGTAATTAGGAACACATTAACTTCTATATTCACTCAACTATCTCAACTATCTATCTAACTATCTTCTTTACAACTACTGAGCTAACTTCAGGTACATAATATAATTCTTAAAAATGATGTTAAATTGGTTTTTCATAGAGCTTAGTTATGCTTTAAAACTTCAAAATGCTTTAGAATTAAAGCATTTTATTAATAGACTGGGCAACATGTTAATATGGTTAGGATGCCTGTATGAAGATTTGTTTTGTAGTTGCCCTCCAAATATTTGGGTCTACAGTTACAGAGCTCTTGTCCATCTCATGTTGCTGTAACAAAACTATTAACCATAAAAGTTCACTCACCTGTTATATAACTCTGTAAATGGGCAAGAGAGCAGTTGGTGAGCTGTTAAAAATAAGTTGTTGACATAGATAAATAACATTGTGTGCAACCTCCTTTGATGGGAGGAGGTGACAAAAAAACCATGATGCAGTGCATCTATAAATCTGCAGGGTCCGTTGCCATTTTACAATCTGACCGCAGAGACCTTACATTTATGGTTGACTTGCTTAGCCTCACTGAAAACGTACATGTTGAGCTGCAGAAAATTTGCTAATGGTGTGTGATCTTAAATGGCAACCAATGCCAGTAACTGTGTGTTTGCGTCCGTGTGTTTGCGTCTGTGTGTTTGCGTCTGTGTGTTTGCGCTCCCCGTCTTTCTCTTTAGATTGGTCTTTTGAGCAATCTACAGAATATTTTGCTTATAAAACATATTCATCAGTTAAATTTTGGATCTTCTTAATCTTCTTATTGCTTTTATTTTTGACCTGTTATTTTTTAGCACTCATTTATTATTAATAAAACAACAGAGTTCAGAAACAAGCATGGTATTTATTGAAACATTGAAAGGCCTCAACAACTGATTCATATTTTATGAATTGGGTGGAAAGGGCTCTCAACAGGGTGGCGACTCTTACTCAGCATCAGACTAAAAACAAAAAGAAAAAAGAAAAATCAGAAACCACCATCAAATATTTAAATTCAGACATCAAGTTGTTCAACAAAACATTTTTTTTTCTTTTTTATGATGTGAGAATTGAAAGTGGCAAATTACTCCGTGGCATAAAATAAATGTAAACCTCTAATACAATGTGAAATGGCAAATTTGCTCATAATTATTTTCTAAAAAGTAATATATGGCAGTGGTCAGCAAAATTACATTTCCTACCTTTCCAACATCACGGCTCTTCACTCTCAGCTTGTTGACCTGTGACTCAGCAATGTCAGCACGCTCCTGAGCCTCTTCCATCTCATGCTGGATCTTTCTCAGTCTGGAGAGGTGGGTGTTGGCCTGTTCCTCCTGTAAAAGGATTAGGTGTGTACAGACTTAGTTAGAAGAAAAGTAATGATAGTAATTATTACCTAAAACCAAACTGTATACTATAACAATGTATTTATAAGATCTACGTACGGCCTCCTCAGACTGCCTCTTGTAAGATTTGACTTTGAGCTGCAGCTTGTCCACCAGGTCCTGAAGTCTAGAGACATTCTTCTTGTCCTCCTCAGTCTGTGCAGGGAGAGAATTTTGGTGTTAGTGCTGACAGATAATGAAAGGGAAATTTCAAAAAGCAGAACTCCATGGGAACTGTTGAACTACTTGTACTTTGTTCTACTACTCACATCAAAGATCTCAAATCCAGCGATATCCAGCACACCAATGAAAGAAGACCTGGCCTGTTTTGTGTCCAGCATCTCATTGATACGGATGACCATCCACAAGAACATTTTCTCATAGACTGACTTACAAAGAGCCATGGTTGAATTGTTCACCTAAGATTGGTACACAATAAACGTAAGCTTACAGTACATAGGAAGTACAGAAATGTCATATATATAGTAAAATTTTATGTATTCTTGGCTCTTTTTTTTACCTGTGGGACGGTCTGACCTTTGGTCACCATCTCATTTCCGACCTTGACTCTTGGGTAGCACAGAGCTTTCAGCATATCAGCTGAGTTCAGGCCCAAAAGGTAGGCGATTTTATCAGCAACTTCAGGCAAGACAAAAATTTGAGTTAATTAAATCTAATTCTATTTACATTTTTGTAATATTCATGGTTAAATATTTTCTTTAGATCTCATTATCAAATTTACCCTCAGTGCCATCAGGTTCAGCCTGCTCCTCACGCTGCTTCTGCTTGAATTTCATGTTGCCATGGTGCATCACAGCTCCAGTCAGCTTGTAGATGCCCAACTTTTCCTCTGCGCTGAATCCCAGAATGTCAATAGCAGTCTGTATTAGACATAAAAAAACATATGAAACCTGGAACATTTCACCAAAAATGCTTTAATCTAAAAACGATTAATTAATTAACTTTGTTATTTACATCTGTTGCAATGAACTCCTCCACGTCATCAATGCTCTTGACAGTGATTTCACCCTGGCTGATCATTGGATAGTCATAGGGGTTGGTGGTGATCAGAAGAGCCTCTGAAAAAATAAAATAAAATAAATTAACCTTTGTTTACCTGTGTTGTATTTTTTAATTTTTATTTGTATTGATTCCTTGCATTCTTACCCAACAGCTCAGGCTTGTGGCCGGTCATCAGCTGATAGAAGATATGGTAGCTCCTCTCAGCAGACAGCTGGAAGGTGACACGAGACTTCTCCAGCAGATCTGTGGTAAGCAAATTAGTTTAAGGCAATGAATACATTATAATAATAGATTACCTAAATAACCTTAAAATAAAGCACTATTATTTAAAAACAAGAAGAGAATCAATGTCAAGATGTCTTGTGTGTGAGAGTGCCATATATGGAGGGCAAAGCAGCTGAGGGCTCAACCCTTCCCATAGTAAATAGACAAATGATGCTGTTGGTTCTATTGTGCCTAGGTTATCATGCCTGCCTTACAGACAGAAGATCCTGGTTTCAAGCCCCACATACTTGCTGTTACAGGAGGCACAATACAATGGCTCCTGTGGCAGCCTGTGTGGGTTGATAATGGTGGGACTAATAAGGGACTAATAATATTTTTTTTAATGTTACCACTGAACTAACTAGGATTGCTGAACATGTGAGGGACATGAAAGATGGAAATTGGCAGACTTGTATAACATAATTGATGTTGGTTTTCAGTGATAGTATTCTCTTCATGATTTAAATGGAATAATAGAACATTAAATGGTTTACTATATTCTAAGAAAAAATATTACTTTCCACAAATTATTTAAAAAGAAAATGACTACTTACAAGTTTCAATATCTGCAGAAGCCAGCTTGCCAGTGGTGCCGAAGTGAATTCTAATGAATTTACCCTAAACATTTACACCATTGTTAGCATGACTCTGTACAGATTGACATTATAAAGGGTAGATGAAATGCATTTTGTTGTTCCACTCACAAAACGGGAGGAGTTGTCATTTCTGATTGTCTTGGCATTACCATAGGCCTCCAGTAGAGGGTTGGCTGCAACGATTTGATCTTCCAGCGAACCCTACAAAGAGACATTAAATTTAGAGTATTTTGTATCAATGTACTCAATGTGTTCATAATATTTTCACTCACAGTAACTATACCTGCATTTTGCCAGGTGTTGGCTCTGTTTTCTTTGATGAGGTCATTGCAATCATTGCAAAGTACTGAATGACACGCTTGGTGTTGACAGTCTTTCCGGCACCAGATTCTCCACTGGGGATAAAAGGAATATTTTTGTTTTGTAGTTACTAAATGATATAATAAAAATAAAAAACTCCATGCACAACTATTTTTATTTTACTCACGTGATCAGGACAGACTGGTTCTCACGATCTAAAATAAAAAATATATTTATAAAATCAGCTGGCTTTTAGTTTTATGTATATAAATTTGGTTTAGTTAGAGTCTAATTTGACTAAGTGAAAAAAAAAAAGCAGTCAGCTTTGGTTCACAGTTGGTAATTTCATGTTTTATTCCTAAGAGTTTTATTCCTTCCAAACTTTTTTTTAAGGTTTTTATAAATTGTGTTCATCATTATAACAATACCTTCACTTCTTCCTCAATGTACCTGTGAGCATGAACTGATAGGCATTGTCAGAGATGGAGAAGATGTGGGGTGGTGCCTCAATCCTCTTCTTGCCTCTGTATGCGATAACGACTTGTTGATCGTACACGGGAAGCCACTTGTAGGGGTTCACCACGACACAGAACAGGCCAGAGTAGGTCTAGGCAAGAGTGAAAAAGGCATTACTTTTACATTTTTACTTCTTTGGAGGTTTGTAAGAGATAATAGCTTTTCCTCCCTGTGTTCACTTACATAGATCATCCATGATGCATAACGCTCTTTGAGGTTATACAACACGCAAGGCTCATTGAGGTGGGTCATCATGGCCATGTCCTCAATCTTGTCAAACTTGGGAGGGTTTCTGGGATGGATGTCATCCTCTTTCACAGTGACAGACTAACATGGAAAAGTCAGGTGCAGAGCATATGTTACAACACTTTTACCAAATTTAAAGACATACATACATACACAGATAAAGAAAAATAATAAATTACATTACCTTTCCAGTTCCTGTCTCCACCGTGGCTTTGCCACCCTCCTTCTTCACCAGTTTGCCCTTGACATACATCTCATCAGGATCAGTGACGAAGTATGCAGTCTTGGCATCAAATGGAGACGTCTGGGCCTCAATTCTCTCCCTCTCTGACTTTCGGAGGTAAATGGCTGCGGGGCCATACTGCTCCATCTCCGCGTCTGTACTCATGGTTGCACTTTAGGTGGACCTGAAATGCAAAATCACAACAGTCCAAATCAATTTTGAATAACTATAGTGGTGTTAATGTTATTTTTTATTAGACGGGATTTTGTTGTAGATCTGTCTTACCTACTCTTATCCCTACTGAGTGGCACAGATGTAAAGTTGTCCAAGGATGCCTTTAGTGAAAAAGACTGGTATTGGTTTTGTGGCATATAGTAATAAGTAATTAATATTTATATATTTTCAAGAGCTTAAGAGATTGTTTTTTCTGTAACATGAATTTAATATTCCTTAACTTAATTGGGTTTTTTCCTCATAAAACATTTAGGTTTTACACTATATATTTTATAAGAAGTGTTTTTAAATAAAATTATTTTAAAAATATTTATTTATAATTATCTTGCATTCAATAAACCTAAATTATTTATGTTCTATGAAAAAAAAGTTTTAACACTGCCACTTAGATTTAAAGAAACATACACAAAGCACTTACCTGTGTAGGATGCCTGTCAGTTCTCAGAGGAGCCTGAGTCTACTGCTTTTATAGAGGCTGCAACTGCCTGGTCAGCAAGAGCCTGTCACTGGATTTGTTCAAGCCTCTTTGACATTGCAACTCCCATCTTGAGACATTGCTGATTTTGGTTAGCTTTTTTGTCCAAGATATTACATTGCAAGATGCTCAAAATAGCCATAAAACTTAACATAAACTAAACAAAGCAGGTTTTGTGAAATTACCCAAATAATAAATAGAAAATTAAAGTAAATTTATATATAAAAAAGATTCCATACACTAAAGAAATATCCATTCCTAGTGTATAGCAGCACTCATGAAGTTGGACCTTACAGTAATTTCATCACTGTTAATAAATAACAATGTGCACTGCAACTTACTTGATTCTATTTGCATTAAAATGCATTTTTAAAGAGTTCAAGAATTTACATTAATACTTTTTTTTTTACAAAAAAGGCATTAAAATCAATTGTAAAATGTTTCTCCAAACGTATGATGCACTATTCATAACCCCAAACCATTTACTTGTTAATAATTTAAAGTTTTTTATTAATTCAGAGCCCAGCATTCTCTGAAGGGACTTCATTATTTTATAATAAGAAGTTGTCTCTATTTCCTAATGCAATTAGACATCTCCCTAGACAGGAATGGAACTTGCTTTTGGAGAAGCCCCCAAGTGCCACTGGTATATAGTTGCAGACCACTGACGCATCTCATGTTCCTGTAATAAAATCAAATGTAAGGGCTTTTCATAAAGTTCAACTGCTTGTAACCCTCACCTTAAAAGGTCTAGAAATGTGCCTGCCATCCTGAATGAGATACGAACTATATTAAGTCCAACTTGCATATCAAAAGATTTTTGTCCTGGGGTCTCAAAGGACTTTGTTGCTGCTATGGAACCTAACTCTCCTTCAGAAACTACACAAACTCAACACATTGTTGACATAGGTTTCAAAAGGCATATACATAATCCTCCATAAACAGCTGCTAACCATCTATTTATATAATGGTGTGTTGGGTAAAACAATATACTACATATAGAGAGAAAGAGCGAGATTAAATAAAAATATATCAATTCATCAAATAGACATGGATAACGGGTCCAGCGCTAATCTCGCACATCAGTTGTTTATTATTATTTTGACAGGACTTTTTTTTTAAAGAACAAACAAGAATCTTTACATTGTGAATAGAGGCTAACAGAAGTTCAACTTGTGACGCATTTCGTGACGGTAGTGGTGCACCGGAAGTATTCAGAAAAAAAGACGTTTTCTGCACGTTAGCTCTTAGCTGTATAAAACTTTGCAGTTTTGTTTTCCTTTGCAATCCTTTTCCACATTCATATTTAAAGAAATGGTGCCGGTAAACGGGAAAGCTGATGTATTGTTCGTAAGTTGATTTTCTCTTTACAGACGCATTGATCCATGAAGTTGCTGGAAACGTGTGTTAGCCATAGATGTAGCCATAGTGTTAGCTTGCTGCGAATTGAGAGGTTAAAGTTACTGTGCTATCTAGAGGAAGACCTGTTGTTTTTTACTTTAAAGTACATTCATATATTGTGGTTTTAGGGGTATTGTTTAGATATGTGAATTTTGATTACCATTGCCGTATCTACGTTACTGTGCTAATTTAGCTTTAGCATGCTAATCGGAAAGCCCTTAACGGATTCTTATATTCGTGGCCCAAATGACAAATACAAATCTTTCATTTTCATTCTCTCATTTAGTAGTCTTTCATGTATTTTACTCAAAATGTATATGTACCGTTAAACTCTGTCTTCCATTCTGTACAGTCAGAAATTAGTCATACCTTGCAAAATGTTTGTACTAAATACGATAATATAGTAGTTTCTAGATCTATGTATTAATTTAAACTAATTTTGGTAGTTTGATTGACGGTCAAAATTTTGTAAGACACAAACGTAAGACGCGGCACACTATAGAAACATTGGTGATGGAAAAAGGAATTGAAAACGTAATGATTGTGGTTTTCCACGTTGTCAGGTTGACAAGCAATTAGTTATTATTATTATTATTATTAGTTGTTGTAGTATAGAGAAGGTCAGAATGAGTTGTACTGTAAGAATCCATCACAGGCATGTGACACGTTTGTTCATTAATTAGGAGAGCATCAAAGCGTCAAAACTGAAATTACATTTTAATTGTATTTTTGAAATTTCAAGAAATAAAAAACAGTGTTGGCTTTGCACTTTTTGTCTCTTCTGCTTTTTAGGAGGATGATGACCTGCCTTATGAAGAGGAGATTATTAGGAACCCCTACTCAGTCAAGTGCTGGTTGCGATACATTGAATTCAAACAAAATGGACCGAAATCAACCTTGAATATAATCTATGAACGGGCTCTGAGAGAGTTGCCCGGAAGGTTAGTAACACAGTGAAGAAAAATTATACTAAGGCATGCAACAAAAATAACTTATGTTATTGGAAATTTAATATGCATATTAAGCCTGTTTTTAGGTTTGACGTTAAGCACTTCATGTTCCTTTTTTTTTAATACAGTTATAAGCTGTGGTACAGTTATCTAAGAGAACGACGTAAACAAGTCAAAGGGAAATGTGTCACTGATCCAGGTTATGAAGAGGTCAATAACTGTCATGAAAGGGCTCTGGTTTTTATGCACAAGGTAATAATAACTCAGTATCTGTTTAAATGTTATAACTATACTATAACAACACATTTTTGTAAATGCTGTTTGAAACTAACACCTTTTGTTTTGTTTTTTAAACCAGATGCCTAGAATATGGCTGGATTATTGCCAGTTCCTTGTATCTCAGTGTAAGATCACACGAAGTCGACGTACATTTGACCGTGCACTCAGAGCTCTTCCTGTTACACAGCATCCACGCATCTGGCCTTTGTATCTCCGTTTTGTTCGCAACCTGCCCCTACCTGAAACAGCTATACGAGTGTATCGTAGGTATCTTAAGGTGAGGGGGATTTACAGAAACAGCAAAATTTTATTGATAAAAACAATAGACAACATGAATGAAGTTGTTAGCGCGAGACAAGAAGCTAATTATTGGGGTTAAAATGGATTTCTCCTCCTCTTTTCCCCTTATAGCTTTCTCCAGAAAACACAGAGGAATACATTGACTACTTACGGTCTGTTGGCCGTTTGGATGAAGCAGCTGTGCGGCTAGCAGCTGTTGTCAATGATGAAAATTTTGTCTCGAAAGAGGGCAAGTCAAACTACCAGGTAATGTCTATTTTGCCAAGATCATCTTAATGTTTTTGTTTACAGTGTTTATTTGCTTTATACTAAATTGAAACGTGGTTTCTCCATTTTTTTTTCTAACAGCTTTGGCATGAACTGTGTGAGCTAATCTCCCAGAACCCTGATAAAGTGACATCTTTGAATGTCGGCGCCATTATCAGGGGAGGCCTCACTCGCTTTACAGACCAACTGGGAAAACTTTGGTGCTCTCTAGCTGACTATTACATTCGGAGTGGTCACTTTGAAAAGGTATGTTTCACCTAATTGCTTCTGTGTTTTTTTTTTTATATTTTATTCTTTCTTTACTCATTTTCTGTTAATGCCATATGACAATTTAGCATAAGATTCAATGTGCTCCTTTGAATTACTGACTGACTGTATTTTCTCAGGCTCGTGATGTGTATGAGGAAGCCATCCTTACAGTGGTAACTGTAAGGGATTTCACACAAGTATTTGACAACTATGCTCAGTTTGAGGAGAACATGATTGCCTCCAAGATGGAGACTACTGCTGAGCTGGGGCAAGATGAAGATGGCATGTGTGGATTCATTGACCATAATCAATTCAAGTGTGTACAATTTACAAAAAGTTTCTCATCTTGCATATGCTGTATTTTTCTTTTTTTTTTTTTTTAGATGATGTAGACCTGGAGCTCAGACTGGCCCGCTTTGAGCAATTGATAGCTCGGAGGCCTCTCCTCTTGAACAGTGTCCTCCTTAGGCAGAACCCACACAACGTACATGAATGGCACAAGCGAGTGAAATTGTACGATGGCAATCCACGGCAGGTAAGTTAATGTATTGATGTGTATGGTGTTTAGTGGTTATGGTAGCAGTAAAGGCCAAGATGACAGTTCTTTTGGCCTCTACTGCTAATTTGTTCAATTGTATGAATCGTTGACAACGTAGTACTGCAATATTCTTGCTTAGCTGTAAGAAAAATATTTTATATATATTTTTTACACTTAATATTCATATACTGTAAACTATCATTTAGAACAAAAATCTTGGATTAACCTTATATTGGTGTTTTATTGTCAATTAATATTGACTTGAGTTTTCCTTTTTTGGCAGATAATCAACACATATACCGAGGCAGTTCAGACTGTGGATGCAATTAAATCCACAGGAAAGCCTCATTCGCTGTGGGTCTCTTTTGCCAAATTTTATGAAGAAAATGAGCAGCTGGATGATGTAAGTAAAAGAGGTCTACATTTATTTACATTGATCAATTGTGTGTCAGTGTTTTTATGTCTTGTTTACTTGACTCTCACATAGGCCAGGACGATCTTTGAAAAGGCTACCAAGGTGAACTACAAGCAGGTGGATGACCTTGCTGCCGTATGGTGTGAATATGGAGAAATGGAGCTACGCCATGAAAACTATGATCAAGCACTACGTATACTGAGGGTGAGACTATAAACCACCAGTAGTCATAGTAATAGGTAAATTGCAACCACCAAAGATGTTTAACAACACCTAGTGGCAGGAGTGTAAAACTACAGCATAGGCTGATATTTGCCATCTCCTGCATATTTGTCTGCACCATATTTAGTTGTATTTACACTGTATAGTCAAATTAAATTCATCCTAAACATAGAAATATGAGAATAAAATATATTTAAAACAAACCCTTAGTAAAGAGTGTGTTTTGGTGATTGTGGATACATTTTTTAAAATACCAGTTTTTGTTTTTTGGACTAATTTGAATTTAGAAAGCTACAGCCATTCCATCGAAGAAAGCTGAGTACTTTGATTCATCTGAGCCAGTTCAAAACAGAGTCTACAAGTCTTTAAAAGTCTGGTCTATGCTGGCAGACTTAGAGGAAAGTCTTGGCTCATTCCAGGTATGTATCATGACAAATGTATATAATGATTTTAGGTTATCTTAAGCACTAGATGAAATAACTTTAAAGTGAGTTTCTTATATTACCTTTTGTAATTGTTTATGCTAATAATGCCATATTTAACCATTGTCTGTTTTCTTAATCTCAGTCCACAAAAGCAGTTTATGACCGCATTATTGACCTCCACATTGCAACGCCACAGATCGTCATCAATTATGCAATGTTTCTTGAAGAGCACAACTACTTTGAGGAAAGCTTCAAAGTAATAACCCACCACACGTCCACAAACATTATATTTCTGTGAACAATTTCATTGGTTAACATTTTCGGTGTCACTTCATTTAGGCATATGAGCGAGGTATCGCATTATTTAAGTGGCCAAATGTGTATGATATCTGGAACACTTACCTCACCAAGTTCATTGACCGGTACGGGGGCAAGAAGCTGGAAAGAGCCAGAGATTTGTTTGAACAAGCCCTAGATGGTTGCCCTGCAAAGTTTGCAAAGAGTGAGTTGCAATACTAAAATCAATTTCTTTTTTTTTTGTATTTTTGTTCAACAATTATTTGTTGTATTTAAATGATTTTTTCTTTTTGTAGCTATTTACTTGTTGTATGCAAAGTTGGAAGAAGAGTATGGATTAGCGAGACATGCCATGGCTGTGTATGAAAGAGCAACACAAGCAGTTGAAACTGAGGAAAGACATCACATGTTCAATATCTACATCAAGAGAGCAGCGGAAATTTATGGTGTAACATATACCAGAGCAATATATCAGAAATCTATTGAGGTAAATATTACTTAGATATTGTTGATTTATTTTGTGATGTGTCGTATATTTGTTTCTGATGATGCATGAAAATTCAAACAAATTGTTTTTTATTTTGAAATAAAAAATTAAACTAATGCTTTTTTTTAACCAGGTGCTTCCTGATGAGCATGCGAGGGATATGTGTCTTCGATTTGCTGACATGGAGAGTAAGCTGGGTGAGATTGATCGTGCCAGAGCAATCTACTCCTACTGCTCTCAAATCTGTGATCCAAGGGTGAGTTAGCTACAGCAACTACCTGTTTCATTGTCAATCATAGGGATGTTTTATACTTATTTTCTGGGTCTGACCTATTAGGTGACCTCTAACTTCTGGCAAACCTGGAAAGAATTTGAGATTCGCCATGGAAATGAAGACACGATTAGAGAAATGTTGAGGATCAAACGCAGTGTACAGGCTACGTACAACACCCAAGTTAACTTCATGTCCTCTCAGATGCTGAAGGCCACAACAAGTGCCACTGGCACTGGTGAGTGACCTCATACTGGTTGGTTTGTCTGATAAGTACTACACTGATGTTCCAAATCCTCTCTTAATTAATTTCTCTCCCTGTGGGACCCCTATTTGTAATCTCTCTAGTGTCAGATCTTGCTCCAGGCCAGACAGGAGTCGATGACATGAAAATGTTGGAGCAGAAAGCACATCAGCTTGCTGCAGAAGCTGAGAAGGACAAACCAAAGCCCAAAGAGAAGATCCTGTTTGTTAGGTCTGTGACTGCTAGCTTACATTTAAAAAATTTCACAGTTGGAAGCTGTTTCTGAAGCCCAATATGATAATGAATGATTTATTTGTATGTTTTTGTAGAAGTGACACTTCTCGAAGTGAATTGGCTGAGTTATCCAAACAAGCCAATCCTGATGAGATTGACATTGATGATGACGATGATAATGAGGCTGATGATGCAGATCAAGAACCAGAGGGTAAGGGTCCTACACAGCTTACATTGACATGTTGCAGACATGTTTCATTTCAGATTATGAGCGAAGTAATTGTCCCTTCTTAAATCTTTACAGAAGTGCAACTTGAACAGAGAAGTGTCCCAACAGCTGTCTTCGGTGGCCTGAAAGATGAATAAAAATGTTCCTTATTGAAATCTCTTAAGATCTAGTCTTTGGATTCTACTGGTGACCATTGGAGAAGAAGACAGACTTTTTAAGCAATGTATCCATTAGTGGTATCCACTTATCCACACTATTTTTTTTTTTATAAGACCAGAAGTCAGAGACCGGCACAGACGTAGTTATGTTGCCTACATAAGCCACTAGATGTCAGTCTTTTTATGTATTATGGTAATTGTTTTAGTTGAGTAGTTTTCAAGAAAATACTTGTCACAATATATCTTAAAACATGTATTACTTTGTTTCTACGCCATATTTCTTACAATGACAAAATATTTTTGTACATCTTAAAAATGCAGAGTTTTCACTGTGGCCCTGTCTCAAAACATTGGGGTGGAGCATAGATTGAACAGGGAGCATTCACTAGTTCGCTTACATGCGTCATGTTGACTTGTGGATCATTACTCCAGTAGGTGTGTCTTCAAATGAGGCTGGTAGTTTAAAAAAGGTTTCATAACATACTGGTCAGTCTCCAAACAAGTATTGCTTGTAAATTTTGTCAAAATGATGGAGTGTAAGGAAGAACATTAAACAATGAACAACTAATGTGAATTGGTCTAAAGCTCATATCACAATTGAGGTTGTATTTAATAATGTTGCATGTATATAATATTATATACAACATTTTAAAAGAAATCTTAGGAGCTAATCGTTTAAGTCCAGCAACCAAATTTTGATCAACTTCACTTGGTTTGATTAAACACACTTTGTACTAATTCCTGCCCATTGAATGGTACCTTTTAATTTGCTGAACTGTTCTGGTACTGACTAGAACAAAATGGTCTCTTTTATAATTAGATTAAAATTGCTGAGGGATAATCCTACAGAGTTACTGCATTGGGGACCTGGAGAGCTCTTGGAACTTTGAGCAACATCATGTGATGGTCACTAGGGATTTCACATTTCCAATGCAGATGGTCCTGAAACAAAAATGGAATTAAAAACAAATAGTACATTTGAAGTAAACACACGCAACATTTGTTGAATGACTGTGCTCCCATTTCAGCTTTTTACGCTGTTTTAATGACAAACATTCTTAAACATGTTTTTTATTTGAAAAGTATTCTGTGGTAGATACCATGACCATAACGAGCTTTCCTTTTTTATTTGTTGTTGAATTACAAATGTGCACAAGGTTTGATAAGTCAAAAAAATAGGCAACAATGTAATGCTTAAACTTTAGTGTGAACTCTGTTTCATATGCAGTAGATAAGTACAAAGAGTTGTGGTTATGACAACATGATTAAACAAGGTAAAATTCTTTATTAAAAGACGATTTATTCAACTAAAACAGAAATGTAAAACATTATATGCATAGATCAGCTGTTTTAAACGTGCACACCTTCACCAAAGATGCAACGCACTATGTAATGCTCAAGAAATCAGAGTATTAACACCATAAACCATTAAGGCATTTTATTTTGATGCACTTAGACTTTTAAATATATGTTTTAGAGCTTTTAGAACCCTAACAATATCCTGGGATATAATGGAATATTATTCATTGCCAATGGAAAACAGTGCAATAAATCAATTTAGCAGTTCTGATGACAAGATACTGATAACGAAATACCAACATAATCCCAAATAATGTGAAAATATGTTGAATAAATTAATAATAATTAAACAAGATAAATTCAGACGATGTTAATTATTATTTGTTAAAATTAAGTATGGTTAGTATGTTGGACAGCACCTGGACTTCCGTTTTTGTAAAAAAACTCAATCAGGCCTTGAAAAAAACCTGAAAGTTACCCATAAGGTGAAGGGTCAAAACACACTATAGTAAGGGAACACTGTAACGGAAAACAAACTGGAAGAGCACATTCCCAAAAGTCAATACTCCTATTTTCCGTAGCATCATTTGGATGTCACCTGCGCAACTGTGAATGCACCTGTAGTAGAAATACTCACCTCCACTACTGCTCTCTGTGCCTTGCTCAGGGATATCCCGCCCTCTTTGCCCAGACTAATTTTCTATTGGAGGTTTGGATTAGTGACTGACGTCTGTCTGGCGCACCTGAGCGTCACTCATCGGCAAAGCTCAGTACAGTGAGGTGGGATCACAGCAAGCCGACAAAGTAGGGCAAAGAAACAGGAATAGCCGATTTTCTCCTCAACCCGACGGTTCGTGGGTCTGCTTTGCTTGTGAGGAATATTTTAATAGCAAAAATAACGACACACGGAGAAGGACTCGAAGCTGCTCGAATCTACAGCGTGACGGATATTTTCCCGTGAAAACCTTCACCCATATCCGTAATCCAAGCCCACGCCGAATGGAATAGTCTGCCGAAGAGATGGTTCCCTGAATATTTGTCTTGTTTTGTATTTTTGCCCTAAACTCGCTATGGTGGACTCTCCGACCATGAGGAAGTCTTTTGTGGTCCCAGAGATAAAACCATTGGACTTGTATGACAGCAATAGAGCGAAAATATGCGCAAGTGTCGGCTGGCTGTTGGCAAAGTCCTACGGCAGTGCAGGTAGGTTTGAGAAGAGGCTGCAGGCCTGATGAGTTATAGTTCTGTTCAAAAGAGGTCGTTTTAGGACCACTCTCCTCCTGTTGTCCTGCAGTATGTTTATATTCTGGTCAGCAGGGGAGCGGAAAGCACATGCATGAAGTGGAACCGCAGTTTAAGCGTATGGCTCAGCGATTTTCAGCACAAAGAGCAGCAAATGGAAGGGGCCGTGCACTTGATGCATTCTATTTGACACATGTCATTTGTTCCCAGGCCCCGTGTGGCCACGTTTTGTAGATATATGTTTGTTTACCACAAACGGGCCTCCTCCCTAGGCCTTGTCATTCCAGTTCATTTGTCCTATTCCAAGCCGTAAGACAGTGGCCAGATATGCTATCTGGCATTCTTTTTTGTAAACAATACATACATTTAAAATCCTAAGTTAATTGTGGATTTTCAGAGTACTTTGGTATATTTTGATTTGGTTTTCCTACATCTGAGATACCAACACACACCTTTATATTAATATTCAAATGAACCAACATAAAAAATGTGGTTTCTAAAATCAAGTGCTAAAGAAGCCAGTTGTGATCCTGAGAAGTCATTGTTAAAGAGTCTTCTTAATATAGATAAGATCGAATGCAAACACAGTCTCTGTTGCAACCAGCTACATGAAATACCTTATTTTATGCAGTGTCAACTTTTTTCTTTCCCAAAAAGAACCCACCACATATCTCTGACATGAGGGAACTGTTACACTTGATTGTAAGGCAAATCCCTTAAACAGCTCAAAGTAAAAAGTAATAAATGCAAACCACATTTCATAGATAAGCAATGGTTATATTGTAGCAGGTTATAAAGTATATATTTTTCTATATATATTATTTTTACACCGTTTACACTTACACAGTTCAAAAGGTCTGATTCTTGTTGGCTTTCCAACTAAACTTAAATGTTGCACAATCTTAGGCAAATGGTAGTCCTAGCAGGTCCAGGTCGCCGTTTCAGTTTCTGTGCACTCTGTTAAGCACCTTTGCCACGCCCTCTGGTCAAAGTCACCAACCATGTGAAGTTACAGGACTACTAAGACTGACTGTATATGTGCAGTTTTTGTACTCGACTCGACTCCTTGGACTGATACCATGTTTACTGTAATGTCAAGATGACTTCAGTGTTCCACTTGAACGTCATAGATTAATTGCACTTGTCATCTTGTGCATCGTGTCTCAGTTTTAAGGTCAGTTAAGCAAATGATAAGAAAAAGCACCATTTTTATTCCAATCTTTGATTTGTGCTATATAGTGAAGACAAACTAATCCAAAAGACAATAGTTTTATCTAACATGGTTAAAGTTATTTTTTGAATTATTCTTTAATCTTACTTAGTCATTTTCTGTTAGGTTTGCTAGAGAAAGCAAACTGACTTTGGATAGTTCACCGGCAGATTGCGGAATGCCTTTTTTGTGCAAATAATCCTTCACCCCATCTGTATGTGGTGTATACATTTTGTTGACATACAACATTTGATTGACTTTTTTATTTCAATCCTGATGGAAGAAAAGAGGAAAGACCCCAGTAATGTAAAGTGTTAGTGTTAGTACAGTGTAGTAAAGTGCCCACAAGTTGGAGAAAAGAAGAGGGAAAAA